CCTTGCTGGTCTGGTCCTTGAACACGTGAAGGCTTTCCATATAACCTTAAGATCTCATAGTTTTGTACCCCTTCTGTGCCCAGGGCTGGGGGTAGTGCCAGGGTATTGCTACTCTGAGCTCAGAGTCAAATCAGGGCACCAGATCTCAGCTCTCTTCACTAGTGGCAAACTCAGAAGCCTGGCCTGTGTGAAAGAACTCTGGACCAGGAGCCAGAAGGTGAGGATGAGAATGCAGCTGTAGCACACACTGTCACTGCAGGCCTGAATTCTTGCTTTGTAACTCCTTGAGGCCGGTTTCCTCATCTCTAAAACAACATCCTGGTGCCTTCCTTTCCCATCTGATTAGAAGTATGAAGATAAAATGCGATTTAGGGTATAAAACCACTTGGGAAAGTACAAAGGGCCGCCCCACTGGCCCTGACGTTGGGCTGCGGCACAGAACAGAATTTCTAGTCGTCACCCGAAGGTTGCGAAAGGACGTGCTCAGCAACCTGCCAGCTGCAGCTGGAGCAGGGTGTCAGACGAGCAGGGGGGAGGAGTGGGGCCGAGAGGCCAGCTTCCAGACTCGTCCCCTCCCCAGCCCAGTGTCAGTGCTGCTGACAGCGTCGTTAGCAGCGTCTCTTCCCGCCGGTGACACAGTGTGTATCCGGTGGGGATGCAGATGAGAGGGGGGGCTGTTGGGAAGGTGTCCGGGAGAGTCGGTGGCTTGGGGCCAACATAAAGGGTTAAAGGACTAGAGTTTTGTTGAGATGATCATTCTCCATGAATCTCATTGTTTGGGGAAGTTGGGTTTTCATTTGTTGTTTGAGAGAACTGTCTTAGTTTTCCTTAGGCCTTAAGGTTGCATAGCCTCATTGGCATGCAGTTTAGAACTGTATGGAAAAAAATTAGAAAGGTTAGGAGCCGCTGTAAATGCACAGTCTTATTGCTATGGCTTATAATAGGAAGAACAGTGATGCCTTAGAGTCATCCAGCACCTTTCTGACGTCAAACTCCAGAGCACCTTCCGTTATCTGACTCAGGCTGTATCTCCCACCTGCGGGGACGATTATTTCCAGCCTCCAGGTGAGCAGATGGAGTCTCAGAGAGATGAGGCGCCCTGCCTGGGCCCAGGTAGATCTAGGACTTGTAGGCAGCCAAACCAGGTGACGGGCTCCGTGTACTGTGAATTTGCTTGGCTGTTGGTACCTGCTCAGCCCCACCGAGCCTTTCCCCTGGCTTGCCTCCTCGGCCCTCAGGAGGCCTCTTGTGTGGATGATGAAGGCTGAACATCGGAGGGCTGTGCCACCCATGGTGGGTGACGAGACCGTCCCCTCGAGCCCTTTCGCTTTGCTTACCATGTGTTTAGCAGACTGACACAGGGGTTTGGAAGGCCCCAGAGCTCTCAATGACCCCGGTGCCATTTTCTGGGTCCCCATGAAACATATTCTGCAATGTAAAACAGTGTAATGAAAAATTGTTTTTATGATATCTGGCAGACAGATACTATCTCAATTTCTTGAACAATTTAGCATTAATAGTAATCGGGAAAGATGTGCAGGTCCGGACGAGGACTGGAACCGTGTATAGTTAGTCATGAAGATCCAAATCCACTTGACCTAAAAAACATGATGGTGGGCGATGGTTTGTTTAATGACACCATAATTTAGGAGACATGGAAAAGATTGCTTGCTAAAAATTGTCATCCTTCATTCAAACTCTGCAACAGGGCCCCTGCATTAGGATGATAGTAAATCCATTAAGGAGACTTCTCAGGAGATGTGCCAGCTCTGGCATTTGGAAATTTGGTAAGCAAGCTGCCACAGGAAAGTGAGGATAATATAGATACAAATGTACTTAAGGGACTTTTGCATGTATAAAATGTTCTTCTTTTGGCTACATTTCCCGATCTTGTTTAATAAATTTCATCAAAATGACCTGAAGTTAAAAAGGGGGGGAGGAATCTGAGCAAATAGTGCCCCTGGTATTGTAAAGCTTTGAATGTTTTCACACCCCATTAATTTATTACTTCTCTTTCTTCATCTTTAAATTTCATTTTTTTTTCAAAAATTCCGACTCCCCGCTGCGGCAGTGATTTTCATCTTGTTGTTAATTTTCCCCGCTCCATATGGAGCTCCAGACATTTCACCTGGAGGCTGCACTAGATTTTGCTGTAGTGATCGTACTTCCGGAGGCCAGAACTGTCATTTAGGGTTCCTGGTGCATCTGTCTGCGCCAGGCTTTTCACTGGCATGGGAGAGTGTGAATAACAAATTGGATGCACCTGAGATTCAGATGATTAGTGTGTTTTGCGAATCTCCACGACTTGTAAGCGGATAGCTCTGGGGGGCTTGCGAGGGCGCAACCGAGTGTGGGTGAATCTGTACTCACGCCTTGCATTTGGGGCTTTGCGAGGGGAGTGCAAACGTCCTAGGCAGGCTGAGTGCAGAGAGAGTAACAAATATTTCATCCTGCCTTGTCATTGATTAGAAAAGAGCCTTTAATTTCATTTCACCCCATGTTGTGATTAATTTGCATTCTTTGTCAGAAGTTAATGGAGTTTTTTATGGTTCACTCTGAAATCCTTGAAGACATCAGACTTGATCTGATGTTTATACAACCGCCAGCGGAAT